TTTCCCATTAATAAAATGGCGGTAAAATATCCATGAAAGAGCTGACAATCCGAAGACATTCAATTACAGTCAAAAATGTCTTTGGCTATCATACAATTTAGTATCCAGTCAGGAATAGGTAATTTAGTCTTATTTGTGGGGGTTTTAAATTGTTTAGAGTTTTCCATTTATGTGCATTTGTGCTGTTAATTTAAAGTTGGTATAGGGACTGTTTGTACTCTTGTGGAAAGTTTGATGCCTGTCTTGTGCCTATACATTTACATGTATACCATATGCTTAAATACCACAGCAAAGATGGACAAAATTTTAAAAAGTATTGTCTAATACTGTGACAAGATAGCCGAGGTAGGCCATTAATCTTGCTACATGCCCTATTTATGTAGGGTCCCAAATCAAGTCACTTAAGCATAGGGTTGCCAACTTTCTAATTCCAGAAAACCGAACACCCTTGCCCTGCCCACTGCCTGGCCCTTTCCCCAATGCCCTGCCCCCCCACTCACTCCATCCCCTGCTCTTCTCCTCTCCCCCTCCCTTCCCCCCCCCCCCCCAACATGCTCATTTTCACTGCAAGGTCCAAACAGGCATGTTTATTGCTTTGACAGATGTATTTTGCTAAGTTCAGGTTTTATTTGTTACAGGATGCTAGAGCTAGCAACAAAATAGTCAAAAAGGGTAATTTAAAAAAAAATGAAATTTCACAAAGTTTTTCCATTCTTTTCCTCCCCTCTTCACATATTTCTTAACCAGCTCCATGTTTTTTGTTCACTAAAGTTATTGTATTTTTGCATGTGGAATTAGGACCACACATTATCACAGCTGCAATGGGTCCATTAAAGGCCCACTCCCACAGCCCAAATACAAATCCATACAGCACAACTGCAGAAATGCGTACCTATCCAGATACCTATAAAAATAAACCTGTAGAACAGGGGTCAGCAACTTTTGGCACATGGCCCATCAGGGTAATCTGCTGGTGGGCCACGAGACATTGTTTATGTTGACCATCTGCAGGCATGGCCCCCTACAGCTCTCAGTTCCCTTCTTTTAAAAACTTGTTATGAAATGAATACACACATTTCATGTAATCAATTTTTGTGTGCAGGCCAGCAAAAGGAATAAAAGTCAAAGAGTTAAGCTACAAATTTTATTCACAGGTATACACACATGCAGCAATACACACCTCCCTATACAAAGGCACACAGTCTCTTACACGCATACAATGCGTGCATGCACACACTTGCCAACACAGACACTTTTCATACACTTTCCAGGGGCTGCCTAAAGCCTCCCTTCCTGGCTGGATGAGGGTGGACTGGAGGGGAAAAGATGGGAAGGGAAAGAGGCCAAGGACAAGAGCAGGGTGGGGTATGCAGGGCCGGCTCTAGGATTTTTGCCGCCCAAAGCAAAAACAATTTTGGCCCCCCCCCCCCCCCTCCCCTTTTTTCCCACAAGGTCCAAAACGGCATTTTTTTTTTTTTTAGAGTTTTTTTTTTTTTATTTTTTTTTTTTTTTA